ACTAAGTCCCAAGATCCTCCAGGTAGATCAGGTCCTCAGAGTCGTTCACAGGCGCTGTGTGCACAAAGAGCGGGTGCACTAGGTCGCCAGCTTCTGCTTCTTGACACCGGAGATGCCCTCCGGTGTTGCCCTATAAGTAGGCTTTCAGAGCTTCGGCGATGGATGTAAGAGCTTGCTGACGGCTTGCGAAGTGTAATATGTTAGAAATCTCCGGACGAGGCAGAATCGGTCACTCGCATTCTGGACAAGCATTTGCGAGACGACGTGCACAACATGTGCCTTGGCACTCGTACCATGGAAATCGAAATGCCACCAGTCCCTCGAATGAGGGGGCCCGACTTTGATGCAGAATAATTCAGAGTTGGCAGGATGTACTTAACCCAAGCCCCCCCCCCCCCGGCCCTTTAGATCAGTCATTTTACGTAAGATCTGCAGGTGGGCTCGCAGTTGTTGACTCCTGGAACGGCGCAGAATGTAATGGACAGAGCGCACCGCCATGCCACGTGTGTGGGCGAAAAGCGAAGCCTTCAAGCTGCCCCGACACCCTACCTTAACCTTCCTTTTTGTAGGATCTTCACAAATCCGACATTCGGGTTTATAAGAAGACCCGGTGTTCAGATCCTTCGCAGCCTTGAGGCCCATGCTTGTGGTGGAAGCGCACAAGGCACCCAACACCAGTCTGGCAGTGCAGTATATCATGGAGAAGCAGCTCCAGGCTCCCTGTTGAGCTCTGGGGATGACTGCGATGCTTCTTGACCCCTTCGGCTTGGAGAGTTTCGGGGTAAAAATGGTTCTCTTTGGGATCTTCGTTGAGGTCTCCTCAGACGGTAAGGCAGCTAAGTGTCCTGCAGGACAAGACGATCGGCATCGTCTCCAAGTGCGATTTGTGCATCGACAACAGGGATGCTCTCCGAGCGCGGATCCTGCATGAGCCTTCAGTGCCCAAAGACAACTCGCCTGGCGAGTCGCCAGAGGACTTTCTTGCACAAAGCTGGATAGCTGAGCTCCTTACCTCTAAAAGGTTCATAACGGTCATTCCTGCATATCACGGGCCATAATGCGTCAGCACAGGCATGTACACCTCATGAGCCCGAACCCTCGTTTGTGCCAGGATCTCGGCGCTATCCGGATGAAGTGCTGGATCGCAAGCATGCAGGGACCCGAGAAGCAGGGCGAGGATCGGACCTCTGAGGGGCTGGGTGCAGTTCGATTCCAGGGGTGCGCAGATCAAGGTGTAGCTTTGCAAGCCTGCTTGAAAGGAAATTCAGAGGATCACAAATGGGCGGTTTTACGGCATCTCTGTGATTGCATTGTTGCGGGGTTGAAGTACATCTACCGGAATCTGCCGCCCACAAACAGCCGGGGTGTGATGGCATTTGTGCAGCTTCGGCAAAGTGACATGAAGAAGTGCATAGCCTCATCGGGAAATATCTGGAAACCCGCACCAGGACGTGCTACTTGGCGAAAAGCTACAACTATCACAGCCGCCCTTGTGATCCCACTAGGTTCAGGGATCACGGCATCTTTCATGACCTTGCCTATTCCGCATGCAGTCCCGACCTGAACTCTTATAACTGAAACGTAAGGTGCTAACTTTCACGAGTGCTTGCATGATATGATGAAACATGAGCCTCCCCGAAAGCCCATGTTACCATGGTTTGATGAATCCTACGCCTACGCCCTTGATCCTTTCAGCAAAGCGGAACCCTGAACGACTCTGCAATCCTCAAATCGCTGTGAGCCTCCAAGCCAGGAGCGAGCGAAGGAGTTCACGACACACAACTTCGAACGGGTGTGGATGCAGCAGAAGATAGCGCCCATGCTGCGGTGGTTTAGATTTTCGGGCTTGTTGTTGCAGTTGGGGGTTAACGTAACACCCTTGCACTGGCTCGGCTAGCCGAAAGCCCAGGAGAATGATTTCTTTGCGAACATCTCGGAGCTGCAGGACCTCCAGGCGCAATCCAGCAGCCAAGAGAAGGCAAACAGGTTCCAGGGTGTTCAAGGTTGCCGGGTTGAGAGAGGAGTTGGGCTTGCGCGGGTGAGGCGGGGGCACACCAACAGGTGCTCTATATCTTGAGGTGAAGACTCTCATGTTTCATGAAACAGATTGAACCTGCAACGATCGAACTTGGCAACTCGGGACCCGTGATCGGGTTCGCCGGCATCAGGACGTAGGGTGTTCGCACTTGCGGCGTAGGCCTTTCATGCTTCCGGGATTCAAGCGTAAGGCAGGGCAGCGACTGAGTCAGATCGACTGCCCCGCATGACACTAGATCTGATGCAAGTTCACGGCACGGGATGTCCATGAAGCCCACGGATCCAAGAGATACTCTACAGCAGGGATCAGAAGTGCATCGAATGCCACCGTGCGGTCTACAAATCTACCATCAGGGTCATCAGCTGAATTGTCATAGGCATGTGGGTAATTTTGAAAAAAGGGTCCCTTTTAGGGTCCTTTTTTTGAGGGTGCCGTACTATATTGGGGACTTATTAAAAAGGGACCCTAATTTAGAGAACTGCTCACGTGACAACGTGACAGTTTTTCGAACTGAGAGTGCATCTGGCAGGAGAAGGGGCATGCAGGAATCCCATGCCTCGTGGAGAAGCTTCACAAGGACGGCTGTCTGATAAGCTGGAGGGGTTCCTAGAAAAGTTCTAGGACGGTTCTATAAGTGTTGGGATCTGTGAATCATTGTAGGGGTTCTATGAGGGTCTTGAAGGCGTTCTCGAGGGGTCCAGTGTTGGGGCGGGTCTGCAAAATGATGCTAGGCTAGCAATGGTATGAGGGAGTGTGTCGGATCACTGAGATGCAATCCTCACCCATCTTGGGGTCCCTGTCAGCACTGAAACGCTTCGGTTTAGAGTTGCCTTCAATCTTTTCCGGAAGACCGCAGGAATATCTCAACCACCTGCACCTTTCCTGGAAGTGGGACGCCTTCTACAAGTTGGAGGCCAAGTTGGACCGGCTGCAGTTCGACCTGAGTCTGCCTCTTGGAAAGGTTGTGCCCGAACGATCTAAAACTTTTATGGCAAAAGCCTGCAATGGGTTGAAGGATATCCCCAACAAGAGACCTTCTATGGGGGCATCCTGAATTTATCCCCAACAAGAGGCCTTCCATGTGGGATATCCTGAAATTGTTCATCCTACCCACATGCATGTCCCCTCTGAGCCCCTTGAAAACTGTCTGTCATCCTGTGGCCCTACCACTACTACCCAGTACTACATATTGACTTGCATGTTGTGATTTAGGATAACCATTAGCCTCGTTTGCACGCACAGCCCCCAGAGCAGAGGAAGAGAGCGAGGAAGAAGGCCACAATCAATAGTTACAATTATGCAACCTTACTTACTACCCTAAGCCCTAAACCTTGAACCCTAGGTCCCAAAATTAGGGTACTGACAACCTTACTTACTACCCTAAGCCCTGAACCCTAGGCCCCAAAATTAGGGTACTGACAACCTTACACACTACCCTAATCCCTAAACCCTAAACCCTAGGTCCCACCTTACTTACTACCCTAAGCCCTAAACCCTAAAACCTAGGCCCCACCTTACTTACTACCCTAAGCCCTAGGCCCTAAACCCTAGGCCCCATGGTCCTTCAAGAACCCAGGCTCGGCGTGGTGCCGGAGGACCAGAAGGAGCAGCTCGCAAGTGCGGAGGTCGAGAGGCGATGGCTGCGGTCTTTTGAGTCTTGCCTTCCTTCGCACCGGCTTCCACGAGCCACGACCCTAAACCCTAAACCCCTAAACCCCTAAACCCCTAAACCCCTAAACCCTAAACCCCTAAACCCTGAACCCCTAAACCCTGAACCCTAAACCCTAAAAGGCCCCCTGTTAAAGGAACCTCAAATCCCCAAATCCCCAAACCCTTCTTCCTGTGAGGCGCCTGGGCCAGAGCTCGCCCTTCACACGGGCCCCAAGGCAGCGATGAAGATCCTTTGGGTTTAGGGTTTAGGGTTTAGGGTTTAGGGTTTAAGGTTTAGGGTTTAGGGTTTAGGGTTTAGGGTTTAGGGGTTTGGCTTGGGTTGGACCCTGGGTGCTCGACATCATGAACTCTTCGTTTGAGAAGATGCGATGAGATGAAGCTTCAGCTTTGTTGAAGCTGGGTGTACTGTGGCCCACATGAACATTGTGTAGCCTGCACGCAGCTCAGGCTTTGTATCAGTCCTTCGTCACGGACGTGCTTCAAGACGGCCTGTTTGGAAGGACATCCAGGGAAAAGCCGGGCTTCCGGTGACAAAGTTCCCGGTTCCGAAGGTTGATTTGTGGATTTGAGGTTTCGTAGTTCATGACTCTGGCCGGGCGTGTTGATGCGAGGAGACCAGGCCAAGATATCGTGTTGTCACAGCGGTTATCATGTTGCGTGGAGCCTAAACCTGTTGCCTCCAAACCAATTTTGGAGAACCCCATCTGCGCAAAGACTTGGCTACTGCGCCCACGCATCACGAAGCCAACCCTAATAAGCCAACCGAAGGCTAGCCCTTGAACGGGCTCTCTCTCTCAGGATCTCACATGCTTTGCTCCAGTTCCAGGGCGAAGGACAGGGACATGAGGGTTGGGGTTTGGGAAGTTTGGTGCTTAGATAATTTGAGGTCTGGAGCAGGTTGAGGCTGCAAGGGTTTTGAGTTTGCTTTCCCGACTTCAAATGAATCTAAAGGAACCCCTGCTGATCCCTATATGAATGCTAAAAAGCTGGGACCTGCACTCAGAAGAGCCTTAGAGACGGCCGGCACTGCTCCCGCCCTCGAGACTCTTACGTTGCACTCACCTGAACCATTGCTCACATGCATGCGTTTTCCCATATCTCTTGATGTGAAGTGCAACGTGAAGCGCAACCAGGCTACCTGTGCGAGGGCTTCAAACAGCAGAGTGCTATTGATCGCGTCTGCGCTGACATTCGCAAGATCACGGGCGAGGCGGCCCAGTGATTTCCACATTCGATCGTCCTAAGGCTGTTCAAGAGAGAAGCCCAGGAAAGCGCATTGAACCACTAGAGCGCAAGCAGCACTGCACGGCTTTCGAAGCTCCTTCGGAGCAACAAGCATACATGTTTCAGCAGACGTTCAACACGACTGAGATAAAGTGCTTAGGCCACAAGCCATGAGTGCAACGTTTACTGAAACTCCAAAGGCAGGGTGTAAGCCTCGACATGAGCCCAACTTTTCCGGAGGCTCTCCAGGCAGTTTCCAGTCATCTGGTGAATCCGGTGCGGGAAATCCTCGAGACGGAAAGCAAGGCCACCATGGTCGTCGAGTCGTCTTAATAATCTCAGATAGTTATAAGGTTTGGTTCTTTGTAGGAAGCTGGACAAGTAGTAGGCCGCTTGCTGCAAAGCACCCCGAGCCTTCAAACCCTTAAGGAACGTGCAATCTGTCTCTCTCGCTCTCTCTCTCTCTCCCTCTCTCTCTGTCTCTCTCTCGCTCTCTCTGGGTCTCTCTGTCTCTCTCTCTCTCGCTCGCTCTCTCTCTCTCTCTCTCTCTCTCTCTGTCTCTGTGTGTCTCTCGCAATCTCTTACCAAAGTTTTCAGCGTTTTACTTTCAGCCACTACACTCAGCACTGTGCAGCCGTAGTCGCCCTCCGGTCGCCAAAGCCTCAACTCTTCCGCGAGGTGTCGTCTGGCGCGGACTACGTCAACATTGCTTTCTGGCAAGCATTGCTTCCTGAGGCTTGTGGGTTTCATTGACCTCCTGTCCTGCAATCCTCAGTGGACGCAGGTCAGTTGAGTTTCAGTTACCTCGATGGAAATGAAAGCCTGCAATGTTGGCATTCTGGCCAACTCTACACCCGAAGCGAGGTCACCCATGCTCCAGAGTGCCTCGGGCTGGAGCCACTGCAAGCCTTTGAAGAGGGCAAACGCTGGAAGAGCGACCTGGCCAAGGGACCTCGTGGATTTTTTCCAGGGATGACACTATAAATCCTTGAAATCCAGAGTGTAGCCGTCTTAAGTGATCGGGGTAGCCATGGGCTGCGGTTTCGGGAACTCAGTCACATGAACTTCTTAGGTGTTCCAAATAACAGCTAGGCGCGCCTCACCCTCCTGTGCTGGGCAGTAACCTAGCTCGAAATGCATCCCGAAGCCTCTCTAGTCCTTCATCAACTCACAGGGCCCCTGGTTGTGCAGAGACCCTGAGCCGTGCAGAATAGCTCGATTCTTCCCTCTCCGAGGTATGCAGCAGACGCTGAAAGATCGGCCGATCATCCAGCTCAGCAGCTACGCAACCTACACCGATGCCATCATGCAGCGTTGCGAGCCCTGACGGTCAAAACCTGTGGGTCCCTCGAGGCCTCGAACAGCATGTCTTAATCTCGTGACCTTCCGCAAGAGAAGTTGGAACCTCGTGCTGAGGAGACCCTGCATGCGGATGCCGTTCAACAGCTCTGGAGCAAGAGCGAGGAGCTCTTGAAGCGGTTGGCCGATCTTGACGCGCCGAACCCGTGGATTCAGGCAACGTGCTGGGCGTGTATATAGAGCTTTGAGTGACTTGGAATTTCAGGACTGGGTGGCATTCATTTAGTCCTTAGTCCTGTGGTCCGAATCCGAAGAGTCTCCGGCTTGCTGATTATCTTCAACAAATTTGAGCGTGCACCTCGAGAGATGCTGAAAATATCGGCACAGTTCATTTCTCTGGCCCGGCAGCGGCTTCGGGCACTTGCAAGTGGGTTCGATCTTGCATTTTTCACCGCAGGTTGGGCCAAGCCTTGAGAAGTTGGGGGCCAGTTGGGAAGCATGTACAGCGTCTGGGACATGAGGCTCTTGTTCAAGGATCCCCTGTGGAGGTGAAAGCACTGTTTGAGCCGCAGGGCTTGGGCGCCTCGCGAAGCAAGGTGGTGATGTACGGCAAGGTGCCCACCGGGAAGCCTGCCAGACCCGTTGACAAGATACTTCTGGGATGTATAGCACTGAAGTTGAATGACTGTTCGTGACTGTAGTCCCTGGACGAGTGCTAATTGAACAAGTGTGCTGTTTCGGTCTTCGGGGGTCTGTGAAATGTGTTCTACGCCGAATGTCAAGAACAGATGATCGAAAGCGGAGGCCAGCTTCAGATAGATGTTCGATGGCACACCATCGTAATCGCATCCACAAGTAGTGTCGTCGACCACTGTGCGCACGGCAGCTCTCCCTGATTCGCGAGGCAGAAGAGTTTGCCACAGCAATGTATGCACGCCGCCTGGCGTCATGTGAAGGGCTGCATCCCTTACATCGAAGTGTGACGACGAGCATGCTGGGCTTTGGACGCCAGCCCCCATGCACACTTTGCAGATGGCCGCAGCTAAGTTTTCCTTCGCCACATCCCCTCGCAAGATCAGCTGGCGAATTTGCACGCCGGCCACTGGGTCAGCAGATGTTGAGTTTGGGGCCAACTCCAAGGTATTTCGGCGTTGGGATGCAGTGGGTCACGACTACTCTACGTGTGATGCCTGGCAAGCCTGTCACGAAGACTACCTGGATTCTCAAAGCCCCCCATACCCTCAGTGCAGCTGTCCCGAGCTGTATAAACCCTTATGTCAGCTGGTTTTGTCCTCAAACGCTGGATCCATTGCAGTATGGAGGCCTTCCAGTGGGCGAAGAGCGAGCCGAGACGCGATCGCAGGTAGACAGTGCCGTCCTCGGTTGCAGAAATTAGGTCGCTTCGGATTCGTGCTACAGCTCGTGATGTGCATGCTCCGTCTCTGTGAGTGAACTGCAGTACCATAAAAGAAGAGGTTGACCTCATGCTGCGGCTGCTTTATGCATTTCGACGGCTTGCGCTATAATTCGTTGTGCTGGATCGGATCTTAAACCAGCTCCTTGCTTTGTCGCAGGAGTGTTGTGTAAGGCAAGCATGATTCGGGTTTTGCCTCTAGGATTTCGGACCCTCTAGGTGGGGGCTTGCAGGGAGCTTAGGTGCAGGAGTAAAGTAGGAGGAGGGCTCAGCGATGCTCAGCGTTTAGGGTCCCGATTTAGGATTTGCGGTTTAGAGACTCATGGTTTAAGATTTAGGAAGGAGCATCCAGTGAGCCTTCTGCCGCACGAGCCGGAGGTCTGACGGCGGAGAGGGCCAAGGTGCTCGAAGCTCGGACCGGCATCCGCGACGCGCTGCTGGGCTGCGTTGGCTCCGTAGTGCAGCTCCTGAGCTTTCGGGGAAGAGAGGTGATAGGGAGCCTAAAGCAAGGCTTTCGAGATTCGGGGGCATCCGAACTCTGGGACGTCCTGTACTTCTGAAGGTATCTCAGTTTCGAGTTTCGTCCATGGCGAAACGGCTGAGTCAAATTCGATGCTCCTGGCTGCCCTCTTGAAACCGCCGCAGGCTCTCCATCGATGACGAAGAGTTCGCAGAGATCCAGCAGAAGTATGAGGTGCTGCAGAAGCCAGAAGCTGCACCTTGCACCCCCTCACAAAGCAAAGAGCCTTCTCGCCATCGGTGTGTTTCCAATGAGCGCTGCGGAAGTCCTTCTCCCGCTCTCTCTAGTCGCCAATTCCGACATGCCAAACGAAGTTCGAAGAAGGCTGGGGAATGCGAGTCCTGCCTCTAGAGACAACCTTCCGGTAGTTTCCCACCGTTCTCCGTAGCACCTCATCCATCCTTCCGCTAACTTGCAGTAGCCCTCACTCTTAAGCAACTTCGTCTTGGAGGCTTGAACCCGCCAAAGAGAATTTAGGCCTTAGACTGTACACACCCTATAAAGCCAAAGGCCAAAATAATCCAAGCTTCCATGATGAACAACATGATTAGTCGTTCTGTATACACGTGGATTCAAGGCGGCGGCTTCGTGCCAACCTCCGTTCGTAGCACCGACACCAAGCACGACGGAGGCCCTCGGAGATACACATGGGTAGTTCTCTAAATTAGGGTCCCTTTAGGGGGTCCTTTTTATAAGGGTGCCGTCTTATATTGGGGACGTAAAACGGGACCCTAGTTTAGAAAACTACCCATATAAATCTTCTTCATGAGGTGTGACGTTTGGGGCTCGGGGGAGCCTGAGGCTCATGACTTCTTGCCGCCTGTACTGGGAGGTTTCTAGTGGACAGCGTGTTTCGATACCATAGACACACGGCATTCAAGAAATTCCTCAAATCCACTTTAAGCGACAAACCGCAAAACATCGCAAAACCTTGCGTGTGAAAAAACTGGGCCCCCACAGCGTTCCTTTCTGTTCTAGTGTGTCGTCATTGCCTAGGGCTTGTACTAAACTTTGGCGATATGTTTGCGATGTGTTTTGCTTCAGTGGCACTTGTTCCGGAGGTTTCAGGGCAACCCCAGCTGCAGTCCAGCTGCACAGGCCGGTAGCTCCAGTGGCGCAGACACAGAAGGACGGGCATCTGGAAGGGGCCAGATTTTGGGGTGGAACTGACGCACATCCCCCACGCGAATGAAGTGACACCTCGCACAGAACTTTTGGATTTTCTCTGCCACTTAGAATTAGAAGCCATCTCCTGTCACAGGAGAGGGAGGTGCTGATGATGGCATGTAATGTACTTTACCGGTCTATATCAGTGTTCGTAGGGTCTATCAGGTCTGAGGCTGCCAGGCCCACGTGTACAGAAGCAGATGATTGTAAGACTCTCAGGGGCATGCACTCCATCACCACTCACCCAATGGCAGCAAGCACAGACTCTGCTGTATCCCTTAACAGCACAAGGGTGGCGTGATCGTAGACTTAGAGGATGTGGCAGAGGAGTTAGTGCCTCATCTTCGGACGCGGAGATCGTGGCCGAAACTACCAAGGCCACTCGCCATGTCGGATTTTCGGACGCGTCGGCATCCAGTTTCAAGACGCTCACACGTCTCGGGCTTCTAGGATGGGGGGTGTGGGAGCCACATTTTCTTGGCTCAGTTGAAGCCTCGGTCGCTCGCTTCCATGGCAGGTTCACATCAAGTCTTGGGCATCAAGCTTTGAGATGGAAATCCTGAACGAGGCACGGCCTTTTCGCTGGTTGCACAGGTTGGACTACGAAGTTTCGATTCAAGCGCGTGCAGAGTCGTGGCCACTCCATTCAGGTTTTTACTGTCGCACCTGAGAATCAACCGATTCAGTATCTTTTGCTGTAGAACAACCCGAAACCGTGATCAAGCATTCTCCTGCCAAATATCATGCTGCACATGCAGCGCGACACCAGAAGCGCACAGACAGATGTGTAGCCCAGCCTGCCGCAAATTACATTGTGTCGGCTCGCGAAGTGGATTTCGTGGCCCGATGCTTGAATCCGAAGAGCTCCCCTGAGGAGCTCACCCAAGTTTGGCTAGATCCCATGCGATGTGGAACCATGAGGCAACCGTGCAAGACCTGAAAGAGCTCCTCCGAGAAGAGCTTGGAGAGCGGGGCTCCAAGATGTGCGCAGATACGCGGAGGCGACCGCACCTCACCCTTCAAGAAGCGAAAGTCTTCCGGCCTCGAAGCAGCCATGTTATGAGAAGATGCTCTGCAGCTGCAACCCGAAGTACTCTTCTTCTCAGGTTCAGGGTTTCGGGTAGATGTGTTCGATCGACAAAGCCACCAGGGTCACGATCTCGCATACCACGAGGTCCTCGGAGCAGCAGCTGAAGCTCATTTTCAAGGGCGACACACTCGAAGACTTGCGCCGGGTGAAGGCGTGCGCATGCAGACGCGGCAGAGGTTCAGGGGTTTGGGTTTGGCAGTCGCGCTTGCAATGAAGGTACTAGCTTACTAGCTTATATTGCATGTTTCTGCGGTTATGCACCCGAAATGGGTGCTTGATGTTCCCCGAGGAGCATGTCTCGGATTGGAGATGCAAGGATTTGGATTGCGTAAGTAGGGTGCCGGACATTGCCTAGCACGCCGCGACCCCTGAGCAGTTGCCAGTTTTGCCGTGTCATCTCAAGATGGATGCTCGGAACAGCACCCAGCATAGAGGTCTCAAAGCAACAGGAGCAGCCGTTTGAGCATGGCAGGATCTCGGACTTGCCGAGGATGAGTTCCTTGTGGTGGACAAAGCCCACGAGGCAGATGACTTACTTTATGACTTGATGGAGCGAGTAGGGCCAGAGGGTTGACACGACTTGCCACTTGTCCATGATCCGGGGTTGATTGTTGGTTTTTGGGTAGGGGTTTTAGCAGACTTAGGCTGTAGAACGCCAGGTGCCAAAGGCTGAAGAGGCATCAAAGACTGAGGAGCCAGCTGCGGAGGTGCGAATTCCCAGACGGAAACCTTGTGCCCGGCAGGTCACTTCACAAAACTCGCCTCGTCGCGAGTCCCTAAATCAGTAAGTAACCCCGTGCCCTAAACGAAACCTGCAAATGCCGACCTCTACTTGTAGGCCCCAGCTGTATATCCGAAACCTTCAACCTTAAAACCCCGAGCGAAAGCCCTATACATGTCCAAACCCAACGCCTCCTCTCCGGAGAGGACGCGGCGGGGTCGAAGGATGCTCCCCGACTCCTCGGCTCGCTGAAACCTCGCGGTGGGAGGGGCGAGGCCAAGGACGTCAAGGCCCAAACCGAGACCTTTCTGGTTCGGCTTTCGACTTCGGGCTTGGGGTTAGTTTTGGTTTTGAGGTGTTGAGATTCAGTTCGGTTTTGGGTTTCCGGGCAGGCCTTTAAATGTCCGGATTAGGGCTGGTCACCCCTGGATTACTGTTCACAAGGCTGCACTTCCGGACCTCAGGCTTTCGTCAAGCAGGTTCAGGGGCTTGCGGCATGTCACCCGCAAGACTGAGACTACCTTCATGAATAGCAAGTGTTGTACATGATGCGTGTGCTGTGGCGGAGGCATCCACGAATCATCCTGGCATATCGAAGTAATCATCTGTTTTTCTGTGCTCTGAAAACCGGCTGGGCCCTTCAGTTTTGAGATTTTGCCCCACCCCCCTGTCACCTTAGGCCTGGCACCACCGCAGGTAAAGCAGCCAGTGTAGGCCGAGGAATATTGAGGAAGCGCACTTCGAGATGATGTGTCTCACTGGACCACTGGATCCCGAAACAGTGTAGCCAATAAAATGCCGAACATACGGCGCCCGATGGTTGCAGACAGAAAGGCCAGATAAGCTCGAAGTTAGCATCTGACAGCCGGGTTTCAGATCTAGGCAAATGCTACAGCCCTTCGAGGCGCAGCGGCCGAGTACTCTGTTCATGTGCGCCCCTGTTGGACTTTGTGATGGGGCCCAGCTGGAGGCACGCTGACGGTGGCGCGTTTGATTTCACATTGCCCAGACCTTGGACAGCGCACACCATGGAAGCGTCCAGGCCATGTCGGAGCAGCTGCCGGCGGTGAAAGAGCTGGTTCAGAAAGCCAAGTCCGTTTGCGACTGCTACGAGCCAACAACATGCTTTTGCGTGAATGCTGCTATAGCCTCCCTCGCCGCAATCGCGAAGTTCAGAGACGATATGCACCAGGCTTGCGAGATACGGTGTATTCTTAGCTGTTGCTTGCATGAGTCTGTCAACAGCCTGGTTCTTTCTAGCCAGGGTTGCTTGATTAGATGTAATGACATGGCAGCAGCCGCATCCTGGCCCTGGCCAGGCCGCTTCCGAACTCTCGATCTTCGGCTGTGGCCCTGGAGGCATTGCATAATCAAGTGGCACCGGGGTCAAGCTGTGAAAGCGAAACGGTCGTGAGAGTGAAGCAACAAACCCGGCGTCATTACTCTGATTGCAATTTGTTTGGCAGTCATCGCTGCCTTTACTGTGAGCTTCCCTCAGAAACACGGAAGGGATTCTGGCTGCCCTTTGTGCGACTGGTGTCATGGTCGATGAGCAGTGCCTCCGCATTGCCAAGCTAGCAGACGACGCTTTGTCGGGGCCTCATTGACCGCAGCTTCACTCGGCGCCAGAATCCCTTCCGTGCAGGGGTTAAAAACTTCATCGGAGCTTCCGCAGTGTGTTGGAAAAGCTGCCGACTCAGGTCAGCTCAGACCGGTGGCAAGAAGCAGCGCACGATCCACATTTGTGGTCTCGGGGTTGAGTCGGTGTCTGCGCTGTGCCAGACAGCCGCCACCAAGAAGGTGCTTTGGCAGCACTCTCGCTTTCAAGCCGGAATTCGTCGTCAGCTCGCAGCTTTCCGAGGACGGAGACGTGTGTGCCATCTCAGAATACATTGACCGGAACAGCTTCGTTGTGGCCGGCACAGAACAGGCCCGAAGCCTTTGGCTGGCAAATCCGTAACTCTACTCTGAGCTCCTGCATCAAAGGTGCAAGCAGTGATTTGTATCGAGTTTGAGTTGCTTGCGCTGCTGTCCTGCCCTGAGGCCATCTGCAGATTCGAGCAACTTGCAAAAGCCAGCCCTGGTCATTGTACCGTCCGGTCCTGAGGACACCTGAAGAGATCGAGAGCCGTTGAGACGGGGACATCAGCAATGCGAAGCGGAATGTGTCAACGCTAGGGGTGTCCAGCATCCTGCACCCCTGGTTTCCCCTGTCGCAGGTTGTCGCCGTGGGTAGCACCACCTGGTGCTGCTCATTGATGCAGACGGCACAGGAATGGCAAACACGTTGTTGCCTTCCTTGCGCAGGTAGTCGTTCGTGTTGCAGACACTCTATCTCAGTTGCATAAGCACGAAGCATCTGCAAGGAGAAGTTCAATGCCGCATTGGATTTACAGTTGCCAGCAATGAACTCGCCCACGACTACAGCGCCTTGCTGAACCGTTCGGGGATGCAGGTTTGATGGTTTGCTGGATTCCTCGATGCTCGGCTCTGCGTGCGGAGGTTTGGATGTCAACAACTGCGAAGCCATTTCGACCGGGCTCAGATCCCAAGGAGATTCTGGTCGAGTTGAAGAGGTGCCTCAAAGATCTCAAGATTTGCTGAGAGATCTTGTCGACCGGTGTCCCAATCCGACGAATGTTTCCTGCATCCTGCTGCTTTTTGCCGAACTTTGCCTCGCAGACTTCAGTTTGTCAGAAGAACGAGGGTAGACTGCTTATGGCACATAATTAAGTTGCATCGAAACAAAAGCCCATCGCATCTTCGTCGGCTCTGTGGTTCTGCTTGGGCCACCACTGGGATCGGAAGAAGCTTGATTATTGATGTCTGTCAGGATTCTGACTAGCCCCATCCTGATGCAGCAGTGCGTGGAAGCCGCCCACGAGGATGGCTTCGAGGAGCTACATGGCATGCACAATGAAAAGAAAACAAACACACAGCTGACCGAAGAACACCGTCACGAATCACCATTCGACAAAGACGGCGGGCAAGCTCTAGCGTCATCTGAGGCTCGTTTATTACTGCTACAACAGCACGGAGATCAGGAGAAAGAAGTTGCAACGTGACCTGCAGCACTGAGCTAGTGTGGCTTTGCCAGTGACGGAGTTTGAGTCAGGGATTCCGGTGCAGGCAGTCTCCCAGGTTTGAGGTCGTCCTGGAAGATCTTTTCTGGCACCAAACATGGAAGTTCTTTGGTTTGGAGGTGTTCCATGCGACGACGAGATCCCCATATGTTACTAGCACCTTGGATGTTAAAGCGCAAGCAGCCTGAATGCTCGGCTTCCTGGGCATCGCGTGGCTTCCTAAGGTTGAGATCGCTCCGAGGCGATTCCTTCAGGCCACGGGGGTTATTTCGATGTAGGGCTGTGGGTTCAGGGTTGAGGATCTCGACTCAGAGGGTGTTCACGAGGTTATGTTGCCGATGGCAAGCCAAGCCACAAGCTCTCCGCCAGGACATGCGCATATAGATCATACGAGCGACCTGGCATGCGAGGTTGATGTCCCACTTGGTGCCAACCGCCTTTGATCCAGTCACATGCGCCGAACGATGTGGTTCGTTTTTAAGTACCTGATGCCGTGCCGAAAGCACAAGGATGCGAGTGTTTAAAACACGGTTTGGTTCCCGGTTTCGGACCCATTCCAGGTTCGGGGTTCTCGTCCTACATTAGGGTCATCGGGCTTGCCAGTGTCTCGAAAGCACTGCTTCCTGTTTGGGGCTCGATGGTCCGAGGCTGCCGAGGACTCACTCAAGTAGTCAGCGCAAGTGCCGATCATCTCGAAAACCCGAGCCAGATATCGAAGTCGAAGCCTCGCAAGACCATACATGGACTAGCAAGAAGGAGGTCAACAGGCCATCGGACTCTCCAGACCAAAGCTGAGGTGACACCGTTCACTGGTGCGGCAGCAAGTTTCAGTAGCAGCATTCGAGCCATGGTGACGAATTAGTGCAGTGACCACACCAGGCTTGCATTCCAAGCAGTGCCGGCTCCTTCGACCAGTGTTCCAATAAGGATCTTCATCAACAAGCCTGTGAAGCTTACATGAACCGGCTAACCTGTCCTCTTGACTGGACACTAGTCGTTGGGAACCGACTGCAATTTCTGCCAAGATTGTCGCTTCTGGTAGAAAGCGCATCCCTCAGCCTTTGCACAACTGATCACGATTTTCTGTATCGCTAGTGGATTCCACCGCCTCTGCAGATTGAGTGCTCGACATGCGAAAGGGGCTACAAGTTTCTCGACTGCCTTGCTCTGAGCAGGAGGCCTCTGAAATCCCGTGCATAGGATCTCATACTAGTAGCAAATATGCATTGAATTCGTGCCTACGGGCCGACAGCCGCAGCAACTTCGGGCAGAATCAAGGCAAAGTCTATGCCGATACCGCAAACCCCAACCAATCTCCTACAGCTTGAGCCGTGCGCACCCTGATCCCTAGCATCTTTGCGCTCGCACGGTTGTTTTTGAGCTCTAGCCTGTTTGGAGTCAGTAGTAGTGGTAAGATATGAATTCTCGCTGGTAAGATGTATCTTTGGAAGCTTGGGAGCTGTTGTCTCCACTGACGTGCGCCTTGAGTTTGGGCCGCAGCAGGCTCTAGTCACTCTGGTCGCTAGAAGGGTTCTAGACCTGCATGTGCTCGGGCATTGAGTCTTCCTGAAAACGTCATGCGCTGCCCTATGCCGGCTGTAGGACTTTTCATGTCGGCTTCTACGCCGAATGAGGAGCAGTGCTGGGATCTTCCCAGCTGCCGGAGCGGCTGTCCGGCCCGCAGTGTAGTACACCGCTGAGTTCCCAAGGGCGACGAGTCGAAGCAGAGCCCAAGTTTCGCGTGCCATGTTTTTCCTCATCTCGGCTAGGAATATGAAAGGTATGGCGGGAGAAGCTAGGACCAAAAACATGGCGCTCTCGACACCTCTTGCTTGGTGTGCCGTCGGCGGCGATTTCTCGAGGTCGCTGCCCTGTCTTCCGGCACAGCGGCAGTTTATTATGAAAGGACATGGAAAGTCAAGAGCCACTGGCTATGATCATCAGACTCATCAGACCGTATTATTACAGCGACAAGGGCTGGCAAAATTCTGCCGGAGCCGTGGGTTTGCAGGTCAGCTGCAGGAAAGGTTTAATTAAGCAGGTTATGCAGTCGATAGCATTTGCTTTTCAGGACATATTGAATGGGAGACAAAGGGTTTGAGGCTTAGGTACTGCACCTGCCATGGCAGCACGTGAAGCGGCGACTGGCTATCATGCCATGGGACTGTAGGGTTGGCTTGCGGTCTTCCGTTGTATCAGCATACCTGGCTTTGGTACTCAAGCCCAGCATTGGATCTGCACTGATGTTTTCCTTGATCAGCCTGCAACGTGGAACTTAGGACTTTTGAGGGTTGTTGGAAACTTGGGGCTTGGGATTCGCGATCTCGAGCTTGTCGTGTTTTACCTCTTCATGACGCCGGTGTTCTGCTCAAGCTTCAGACCACAAAAATGCACTTGTTGCAAGTCAGCAACTCCAACAGACAGATGCCAAAACCTGCATCCTAAATGCTGGTCCTCGCCATAAAATCCGAGGGCACCAGTTGACCCCAATTAAACCAACCTTCACCACTCATACCTACAGCCTTAGTGCTTAAACAGACTAACCTAACACTGAGCAGCCCAAACTCTGAAAGGTCTCAGATCGTGCGGAATCGGAATCCGGTTACCCTCAGCTGAAACCTTCAACCCTGATCTTTACGGAAACGCTATGTGCTCAAACATCCGTGAAGCCTAGTGCCTCGATCCTCCCACTGCACTACCTGCTTCAAGTCCTGCAAGGAACCCTCGCAGGATCCGTCCACTCCAAACCGCCCCATGGCGCTGTCGGCTCTAGTGGCCTTGACCTGGCTCGGGAGCTCTGTCGGACAGGAGGACGGGGTCGCGGATACTGCAGTCTCGGCTCAGGCTATGAGGGATGAAAGAACTGTACCATATACAACCCTCAAAGTACCCTTCTAGCCGTAGAAACCCCCTTCTACATCCCTTCAAGGGGCGCTAAAAGGGACCCTCCGGGCTCATCTTTTTGGTCTTCTGCGTTCAATATTTTTTCAGCTGAAGTCTAGGATGAATGTATGTTCATCACCCGGAGTTATGGCCGAAGCTATTTAGCTATTTGCATCTCAATCTCGGGAGCTCCAAAAGCTGAGGTCCCAAACTTGAAGTTCCCAATCCCTTTACGTACCACAGCAGACCTGGCAAAAGAACTTGGCTTCCTTATGCACCTGAGACGTGCCCCATTGGAGGAGGTCCTGACGCCTTTGGGCCCAGTTCGGGGCAGGGCCACCCGGCAGAGGAAGAAGCCACCCTAAAGGTTTTTTTCGTTGGTACCTATGTGGGTTCCTTTAAAGATCTAGGGTTTCGGGTGCGATAAGTCCCGGAATTTTACCAGGACCAGGCCTTGGCTTTGCCCCGGAACTTGGACTCAATGAAACCGAAGTCTGCAAGGCTTGAGCTGCTCTGAAGCCCCTCATCCGACTGACTGTCTGGTGCTTAGTAGGGGATCCCTAAGATACTCCCTTAAGGTCCCTTATAGTGGTCCCTATAACCCATTCCCCCATTCCATTCCCTACTAAGCACCAGACAGTCATCCGACTGAGGATTATGGCGATTTCTTGGCCTTCAAAGGCCTGCCCTATGCAGCAGCTTGCCTGCTTCAGGGGATCATCATTACACCGGGCCTGCAGGGGTATGTATCAATAATAATCACAATAATAATAATGGCAATAATAATAATCATCATCATCATGTAAATGGTTGCTTACTCGCCCCATCACAGCGTCTCTCCGAGCATCTTGTCAATCTGCCATGCCAGCGGCCAGAGATCCAGAATCTTGAGTTTATGAGTTTTATCCTGGAACCTTGTATACTGCTGCTCCGCGCGAATGGCTCCCGTTGCAGTGGTGATGGCTCTTGCTGCGCACTTCCGGATTCTAGTTGAACCGATGCCGCTTTCGAATGCAGCCCCTCGACGCAACCGCAAAAACAGGAGTGTTCCATTCTCTCCTTTATTTGCTTGTTACACTACATAGCTAAACCGTCATATACTTGTTCAGGGAACCCTAAAGGTCATTTTATTGAAGCTTTTTCAATTCAAGGAGCCACCGGACCGTTTCGGTGCTCCGCAGCCGAAGCGGCCATGGCCGAGCAATGCACCTCGGACTGAGGTGCAGGGCTTGTGGGTGGTCCTTCCGTGACGGGTAGTTAAGGCTATTTTAGGGTTTAGGGCTGTCTAGGGTTCAGGATCTAGGGCTGAGGGTTTAGGGTTTAGATTGCTTTCAGAGTCAGTTTGAATGCTCCGCGTCAGGAGGTACCATGTTTGTTGTTGTACAGGCGCGCTTGTCGTGCAGATCAGCAGACGCTACACTCTGAACATCGCTGGACCGCACTCTCTCCCAACCCTGCAACCCTAAAACCTAAGAGCCCTGCAATCCCAAACCCTAAAACCAACCCTTACATCAGCTCCCAAGGGTTGCTCAACAGCCTAGATCTCCTTCCCCGAAAACTGCCCGGCCGATGTCCGCCGAATGCAACGCTGAGAACCCAAGGCGCCCGCAGAGACCCCACAGGGTGCAATCCGAATTTGGGGCTCAGACTTCACCTCAGGATGGAAGACTCTCCGGAACCACTGAACTCTTTAGGGTTTAGGGTCCTGAAGGCTTTAGGTTCTTTGTAGGGTTTAGGGTCCGGTGTTGAATCCCTTATGTTCAAGTTGCAAGGAAACGCTGGATGCAACCCGCCACGCGGCCTATGGCGTTGATTTTCGTTCTGCCTTCTAGTGGGGTGGAGTTAGGGCTTGCGTGTTCTGCATTGCGGTTTGGGGTTTGTTCTGGGCAAAGTTGGGAAAAAGTGCTTGGACCTTGGCTTGGGGACACAGACAGAGGCATGCTGCGAAATAGTTCAGTCCGCAATACTTCCCGCACTATGCCAGGCAGGACCTTACTGTGAGAGAACAGGGTTTCGATGCTCAGGCTTCAGAGTCCTGTGGTCAAAAGCTGCAGCGGGCCAAGGATTCCGGGATGCCTGCATCCACGGCGGCGCGCACAGGGACACAGATCCGACAGAATCGTTCGGCGTGCCTGAGCTACAAGAGACGCGTCGGTTGGGGTTTGGGGATTGCAGTCACACATAGTTTCGATTCTGGCACCGGGCGAGTTTTTGAGGACCAAGGGCATTGGCTGCGGACCCGTGGTGATGCATGACCTCCGACTACCCAGAGA